TAACAAAGTCATTGGTTTTCTTTATTCAAAATCTATTCAGACATTGAAGAGAAAATATGAAGATACCACTTGTCTTCAAATGACTCGCTCCTCCCAGTGGGTTTGAAGGAGGGCTGTGTGGTCTTTTACTCAACATGGGTTGGTTTGGTTTTTAGCAGCATTGGAAATGGCTGTGAATGTTTAATTGGCCCAGACCTGAACACCCAGCAGGTGCAAACTAAATGATTATTGAAGACTTGCAAAGGGAGAGAAAATGAATCTTGTAGATGAATATGGCTTCAAGTTATGGTTCAAGTCATGGTCTGTGTGCAGGTTGGAAAAGAATTTCCAGACATGGGCAGAATGAGAGGAGAATAGAGTTTTTTAAAGTGGGAGATGCTGTTAGAACTGTGGGCTGGCTCCAGGGAGAGCCTGTCCCTTTCGCAGGCTAGTAGCAAATTTTTATAACCTCAAGACAGAGAAAATTCCTGCTGGAACAGGGGCATTAGGTGACTGGTTAAGATGCTATAAGATGGGTAATAGGGTGGATATTTTACCTAACATGGGGTCAGGGAACTGGTCAGCTTATATCCAGAGACTCATGGCAACAGTTGCTATGGGGCTTGGTCAGTTCCAGAGAGTTTTGCCCTGCGACCTTGATACGGGGCTCCACACTGCGGCCTTGGCAGTGGGCTCCACAGTCGATGCCACTGCTCCGGGTCTCTCCTTTCTGCCACTTCCCCTTGAAAATTTAGTCAAGTGAAATGAAAGTCCCTCAGTTGTGTCTGACTCTTTGTGACCCCATGGACTGCATAGTCGATGAAATTCTCCAAGCCAGAATACTGGAGTGGGTAGCCTTTCCCTTCTCCAGGGGATCTTCCCAATCCAGAGATTGAACCCAGGGAGAAATATCAAATTATTGTACTTTCAAAACACAGTGTAGTGAAGCAGAAAAAAAATTTTTTTTCCATTTATGGAAGAGAAAAAGTATACAGTTTTAGTTAGTTATCCCAGGGACCAATTTGGGGAAATTAAACAGAATCTTATGAGGGACATTAATAAGGTCAGACATCTCACTTTTATAGATGACTGACTTATTTGGTTTAAGAAAAAAACAGCAAAGATTCAGCTAGTAGTTTTCTAGAAAGAATGATGATTATTTGCAGTGAATACAGTGGTTTCTATTAATTCTTCCTTGTTCTTGGCTGTGATGCTTTATGACAAAATGTATGCACAGAAAGTGAAAAGTGAAGGTCCTTGGTTGACTTTTGTGCATGCAAGGCTAGCTGTGGGGGAAAAAGTGTACCATAACAGGAGAAGATAGTTGATACATTTTTATTTAATTCATCCACTGAATAAATAAATACTTAGTATCTATAACTGATTACTGGAAGGATCACCCCTTTTCCATATAAATAAAGTAAGTAAACTGTTAGTCACCGAGTCATGTCCTGCTCTTTGCAACCCCATGGAGTGTAGCCTGCCAGGTTCCTCTGTCCATGGAATTCTCCAGGCAAGAATACTGGAGTGGGTTGCCATGCCTATCTCCAGGGGATCTTCCCAATCCAGGGATCAAACCCGGGTCTCCCACATTACAGGTGGATGCTTTACCTTCTGAGCCACCGGGGAAGTCCATGCATTGATGCTAAAACCCAGCACAGCTGAATGATTTGCAAAAGATTGAGGTTCATCAGGGAACTTGCATTCTCTTCCTACCCTGGTTAAAAGGCACAGGACCCCATAATCAGTTGTACTATTCTCAGTCCTTTTGTTTTATTTTATTTTGTTCTGTTTTATTTTAGAACCCCTGTGGGTGGGTACTAAGAGCAGGAGAAAGACAGTGCATCATTCCCAAGTCCAAAAGTCCTGTGAATTTCACTTATCTGTTAGAAAAGGATGACAGTTTAGATGTGCTCACAGTAAGCCCTTTGCCTCTGAGAGAAGACTTCAGCTCCCACCTGATGAGTGAAGCACCCATAAATAAAAATGTCATTTCCCCAGAGAGGGAAATCAAATTATGAATTCAGAAATTCATAGTCATCTGTTTTTATTGTTGCCTAATGCTTTTAGATTTGCACAGGCCCTGCAGAAAATCAGCTCTGAAACTGCATAATTAGGACATCTTTCATAGTCATAAATGCTAATCCCACTGGAGAACAGATTAAGAATTCATAGGCATAAATTCCTGGCACCAGGTATCTGAAGTTTCTTTTCTTTCTGAATAATTCATTATTTAAATACTTGACTGTGCATCTTATACAATCCTACATGTTGTATCAGGGGCAAGGGAGAAACATTAACTCCACATATATTTCAACACTAAATACATTCAAGGCTTATTTATGTTGATTTGGTGTCATTGGATTGCAACTGCTAACAATGGTACAGCTTTTTCGTTAGTAGCCCCAGGGACCAATTTGGGGAAATGAAGTAGGATCTACTGCAGGACATTAATAAGGTCAGAGATCTAGCTTTTATAGATGACTGAATTACTTGGTTTAAGAAGAAAAAAAATCAGCTAAAGGTTCAGGTAGTTGTCTTCCAGAAAGAGTGATGATTATTTGCAGTTAATGCTTTCCCATTCGTGGCCGTGACATTTTATGGCAAAATGTGTGCACGGAAAGTGAAAAGTGAAGGCCTGTGGTTGTTTTTGTCCTTGCAAGGCTGGGCATGGTGGTTCAGCAGCCCAGCAGGCATCTTCAAGACTGCAATACCCTTCTTCCTTGAGGGTTTAGGGTCTCCATCAGCTGGTGCAGACCTCCTCATTGGAAGCACTCCCTGTGCTGTGGGGACCTGCTCATCTGGTGACCGTCGCACTGCGGGGCAGTGGACTCTGTGGAAACAAGGTGTCCTCTCATCTCTGAGTCTCTGCCGCCTGTACAGCACCTGGCAAGAAGAAGCATGTCACGTGTGTTTGTTTAATAACATAATGGGTATTCAAGGACTAGCCCTAACTCCGTTGGTTGCAACTGATAGAAATTCAAACAGTTTAAACCTAAAGGAGAAAGTGGGCTTCCCTGGCGGCGCAGTGGTAAGGAATCTGCCTGCAAATGCAGGAGATGCGGGTTCAATCCCTGGGTCTGGAAGATCCTCTGGGAAAAGGAATGGCAACCCACTCCAGTATTGTTGCCTGGAGAATCCCATGGATGGAGGAGTCTGGCGGCCTACCATCCATGGGGTCGCACAGAGTCAGACACGACCTAGTGGCTAAACAAAAAGGAGAAAGTGGTGTTGAGTCCTGCCCGAAGGCCACAGAAGTGGAGCCCAGAAGCAAGGTCGCCTCCAAAGCTAATAGAGCCCCTTTGTCCATTACCCAAAGCCCCTGATCATCACTAACAAGCTTCCTGAACCGAAACTAGGCAAAGAGACGTGCTACAGTACTCACCCTATAGCACCCTAACCAATCAGCTAACGCCTATCTTCCAGCAGGAATTTTCTTTGTCTTGAGGCTATAAAAATTAGCTACTAACTCACAAAAACTCAACTCTCCCTAGTCTGTCAGGAGTTGTCAGCTCACCACGTTCTCAGTGCCCACTCTGTCTCTACTCTTTGTTCTTAATAAACACTCCTTTTCTCAGTACTCTCCGTCTGGAAATTCTTTTCCAACCGGTGCTTGGACTGCCTCAGTAAGTAACGCAAGGATACTAAAGAGAAAGTATGCTTTTCTTTTTCTTTTTTTTTTAAATCAATTTATTTATTTCAATTGGAGAAAGCATAATTTTCTAACATGAGCCGACAGGCAGAGAAGGTGGTGACTAGTATCCCAAGGACCACCTTCCCCAAGCTAGAATTCGGGTTTCTTTCTTACTAAAAGGGAGGGAAAGGGGTTGGTTGCTGAAACCTCTCTGGAGCCAGAGTCCTTTGTTCTCACAGCTGTCCAGGGAGGTCACAAGGTTACTATAAACCTCTAATAAGGCGAACGCTATTCTCCCTTATGCAGCTTTTTATCTCTGTGTGAATGGAAAGGTGTCACACCCTTGAAGGTCAGAGCCTTGGGAATGGGCCGTTCTGTCAGTTTCAGGCCATAGGCAATCAGTTCTTAACTTTCAGCAAAAGCAACAGAATGCAAAGGTTAAAGTAAAAGAAGCAGATCTGATACAGATTCAGATTTGTTCTTCCTTATGGGAAGAACTGTGTAACATAGTTTGGGGAGAAAACACTTAACTATTCTTTGGAAGTGTTGCCTCATGTGACTCTATTGGAAGTTACTGTCTCACCATTTTGCTACCAGATCCTCCCAACAACCCTGTGAAGGGCAGGTCTTATTATTTCAAGTTTCCTGGTGGGGAAAATGAGGCTCTGGGTAGTGAAAGAATTCCCAGGGTTGTGCGGGAACTGGAGCCCTCAGCTAAGCCAGGACATCCCCCCGAGTGGCTCCCAGGGCGTCCTACCCGAGCTCCAAGTCCCTGATGCCCGCTTTAGCCTTTGCTGCCTCTGTGCTGACTTCCCTTTTTCACTTGAATGCGTTCCTTATCTTTTCCAGGGCTGAGGTCACCCTTTGTGTCAGTAGGACTCTGTTCTTGTTCCTCTCAGTCCTGGCAAGAAAAAGCAGGAATTCTAAAAATCGGCAATTATCCCTCCTGGTTCCTTTGTACAGTGCCCGGTAAATAATTTATTTGGATCGAGGGACTGGAGACTGAAAACATATATTGGATCTCGCTGCAACCGGGTGGATCCTATGTTCAGAACTTGAGTGCAGTGGGAAAAAGAAGTGTGTCTTTGAAATCAGAGGAAATTTTGAGTGACCTGAGAACACAGGTGGAAGTGCTGGAGACGGGCGGACAGCATCAAAAAGGAGTATTTTGATGGCACATAAAGGTCACCCTCAAGGTTCCCACGTGCAGACCCTACGTGCTTTACGGCTGGGGTTTGCAAACAACGCAGTCTGGAACTGGGAAACTCCGGGAGAGGTCTGAGCTCAGGCACTTCCCAAGTGCCTCCTGCTGCACTCGATACCTGGATGAAACAAAGAAAATTGTGTTTGCCAGGCTCCCTCTCTGAGAAACAAGATTCCGCGTATCATGCAGCAGTCTGGAATTCCTACAAAAACTCATCAGAAAGGATATGTGGCCCGGCATACGGACACAGTCGTCTACCCGACTTTTCAGATCAAAACGTTTAGTACAGAGTTGAAAAACCATGTGATGGTCATGGATTTTGTGAAGAGGAACTGGTTTCCCTCCCAGAGAAGAGCCAAAGTTTGTATCATTCATATGTATCAAGGCCTGAAGACAGCTGAGCAGACAGCCAGCAGATATGAGGTAAGGCTGAATTGGGGCTCACACCTCATTCCGAGAAATGGAGTGCTGCTCTTCAGACAGCTCAGATGTTCTATCTGGTCTGATAAATTAATCATCGGTTTAGTTTTTCTCAAAGGATTTGGAAAAGACTATCTCATCTCTTAATTTATTTCAGTTTTTGAAATATGAGGCGGGGGGCAGGGGTGGAATTGGATAACTGGAATTTACACATTACACACGTCTGCCCTTACAAACATTTAATAGTGCTCCAAAGAGCTGGATAATTTGTATCCACATTTAGAAACTGCAGTATATTTCTGGGAGTTAAATTTTCTTAGCTCTGTGTATTTGCAATCATCTGTCTTTAAAAACAAATTCCCATTTGTTTCCTGATGCATTTTGCAGGCGATTATCTATGCCTTGCTTTGATCAAGTTAACATAGAATGATATAAGTTACCCTAGTAAGAATGGGCTTTTATTTTTCAATAGTGAGATCTTGTTTTTAAACAGGAACTACTTTTTTGGGAGAAAAAAGGAGAACTTGGGAGATTGAGAATGTCACAGTTAGATAAACACATTACTCTGAAGCATATTTGTATTCTGTAACTAGAATAAACCACAAGCAGTTATCCTCCAGGAGGTAAACACACACGAAATCTGATCAGGTCTTTATTGTACATGGAATAAATTATGAATGACATTGTAATTGATTCCCATATAGCTCACTTACCCATCCCTTTTGATACATGTAACATGCAAATTGTTAATGTTTTATGAAGAGGTAACCTTTCTGAATACTGATGCTGTTGTTAGGAAAGGCTTCCCATGAATGCTGGCAAAACCCCTAGCTCTTTTGTTCCCCACACTGGGCTTCCTTCTTCCAGGGCAATGTCAGAACCTGTTCTGCTGGGTTCAAGGCTGGCTTCTCCCAGTGCCAGCCCCAGGATTTTGAATTTCCATGTTCACCACAGAGATATAAAGGCCACAAAAATAATGGTGTTAATTAAATTCAGTAATAGTTGTTCATTAGTTCATTGCCCAATCAACCAGAGCAAAAGGTGTGCAATTAGTATATAATTGAAGGAAACCAGAGATGTTATTATTCACAAATAATTAATCAGATGGGGACAGAATTTTATCATTGTGTAGTTTTCACTGAGGTTATTTTTCAGTCCTCTGGAGAGAGAGAAAAACTTGTTGAATTATATCAGCTTGCATTTTTAAAAAGTGTTCATGGGTCCATTTTAAATCCTCAATGGCAAAGAGCAGCTCCTGTGTCCTCAATTTATTTTGTATGCATAAAACTTTGTTTATTCCTTTAGCAACATTGAAGGTAACAGTGTGAAAAACTGCATCTTTGTAGAAGATTGTAAAAAACATCTATTATACTGACAGCCTCAGGTACAGCATTTTTGCGTGACTCAACTCTGCTCCAATCCCCATTTCCAAATACAGCCAACAATTGAGGCTGTGTGCCGGCTGCTTGAAAGTAACCTGGAGTCTCAAGTCTTATGTTAAAGTGAGTCTGAGACCCACAGCAATCAGGTCAACTGAACTCTCCTCACTATGTCTGCGATGTGAAAGGTGGCCCAGGCAGGTCCTGCTTCCTCTGCTCAAGCACAGGCCAAGTTTGAACACTCAGACAGGATCTGAGCCTCTGATCCCCCTGAATTCCAAGTTCTGTTCTTTCAGTAGCAAACATTTCAGCTTAAAATATTCCACATCCATTGAACTGTTCTTTCTGTTATTCCCACTGGGGAATGGCAGCACCATTTAGGTTAGGAAACCCAGCAAGAAGGCAACTTCCTGGCTCACTTCTCAAGCTGAACTGACGAGAGCCCAATTAACAGCCTCTGGATTCCGTTAGACTTGGCCCAGTGACCCCTTCTCTCTCAAAGGCTCCAAGGCCATTGGTTAACCTGCCAGGGCTTTAACCATAAAGTACCTGATGGGGCGAAAAATGAGCCTGGTCAGTGGGATGAACTCTCAATGCACAAAGGTGCTGGATTAAAGAAACTGGCTGCCTCTCCAGGAAAAGTGAGTTTGGGAGATTTTGCTTCTGCAAAAACCTTATGGATTTCAGGTCTTTCCCAGGAGGACCTGCAGATCTATTTGAGCTGAGTTTAAGGTCTAAGGCTGGCATTTTTCTAAAACTATCACCTTAGTTCTGAGTTGTGTTAACACTTGGAGATACTGCCTTTCATCTGAGAGGCAGTGACCCAGCTTAACTCTGGCCCCAGGATGGGCCAGCCACACTCATTCCCTGTCTGAAGCTACCTTTTAATAGGAACAGCAAGCAGATGTGTTGTGCTGAAAGGCAGAGAGGATTGGAAGCAGATGGTGGTGAGGAGGCTGAAGACCCTAGTCTTCATGTTTGTAAAGCTGCGATCCCCGCTGACTCCAGCAATGCCCCAAACTATTAAAAGCACATATGTTCAGGACCTTTGTCCTTCTGCAAACATACTTGATAAATTTTGGACATCAGAATAACTGTAACTGGGCAAGGAAGTGAATGTGCATTTGAATTCTGGTTGCTGTCAACATTGCAAGTGTGGCTACCTTCCGAGATTTGCTATGAAGTGCCCTGTGCACGGTTTCCCTGATGTCAGGAAGGGAAGCCATGTAGAATTCAGAGATGTGTTCATGTCTCCCAGTGTCGGAATGTGAGGTGGCATCTGTTGATACTTGAAACCTTTCTAATGGTAGGCACAGGCCAGGACATGCCAGCCACATCTCACCCATCTGTCTTCCTGCAGGTGACAGTTTCTGATGCCTTTAATCATTAGATGGACCAGGGAAAGTTTCTGTGTTTGGTGGTCACCATCTGGCCATGCTTCTTGACATTTCCTCAAACCTCTGGCATTTCCACCTCTTCTTCCTATTCATCCTTTTTTGGGGGGGAGGAAACGGGCTGCTGTGGTGTTCAATTCCAACTGAATATAACCACTGTGTCAAAATTTCATCATTTTTTTATTTTACTGACTTTTTGCACATATTTAACTACATTTTGATGAGCTTAGATGTATGCACACATCCGTGATACGATCACTGCAACCAAGATACTAAACATACTCATTGCTGCTAAAGATTCCCTTATGTTCTTTGTGTTGCTTCTTCTGTTTGCTTTTTGGCGGTAGGAGCATCATGAAATCTATTTCCTTAACATATTTTGAAGTAACAGTGTCATATTATTAAGTATAGGCATTGTGTCATATAGGAAAGTGCTAGAACTTATTCATTTTGCATAACTGAAGTTTTATGTTTTATGAGTAGCATTCCACATTTGTCCTCGCCTAGGTTCTGGCAACCATTGTTCTATTTTCTGTTTCCATGAATTTGCCTGGTTTGGATACTTCAGTAAGTGGAATCTTGCAGGGCAAACCATGCCATTTGTCCTGCTGTGACTGGTTTATTTCACTTCGCACAATGTCTTCTAGTTTTATTTATGTTGTCACAAAAGGTAGAATTTTCTTCTTTTTTAAGGCTGAATAATATTCTAGTATCTATGTATTAGGGCTTCCCAGGTGATGCTAGTAGTAAAGAACCTGTCTGCTAATGCAGAAGACATAAGAGATACAGGTTCAATCCCTGGGTCAGGAAGATTCCCTTCAGGAGAGCTTGGCAACCCACTCCAGTATTCTTGCCTGGAGAATCCCCATGGACAGAGGAGCCTGGTGGGCTACAGTCTACAAGGTCTCACAGAGTCAAACAGGATTGACGCGACCTAGCACAAATATACGCAGGTATGTATTACATTCTCTTTATCTGGTTATCTGTCGGCGGATAATTGGATTGTTTTCTCTTGGTGAACTTTAAAAGCTACACATGCCGATGACCCAGCCAAGGCCCTTGTGACCGGAGTTTGCTGTTTATGTGTGTCAAGTTTGCTGTATTCCTTCAAAGAGCATTAAACTTGATTCTGACGCGAGGTTATGTTACTTGAAAACACTTTGATCCTTTTGAGCCTTACTTTTTGGCAGACTTTCGTCAGGGCAATTCTTCTCAATCACGGATGATTTTACTCCCCAGAGGATATCTGGTGATGTCTGCAGACATTCAGACATTTCTGGTTTTCACAGTGCAGGAAAGATGTTCCCAGTACTTACTGGGTAGAGGGCAGGGATGCTGTCAAATATCCTGCAGTTCCCAAGACAGTCCCCTGACCCCAGAACAATGAAATGCTCATCCTGAAATGTCCTCACTGTGGAGGCTGAGAAACCCTGGTCTTGGGCTAATTCAGCCCCACTATTTATTAAAATTTTATTTGATCTAAATATAGTTGATTTACAATGTTGTTTTAATTTTTGCTGTACAAAAAAGTGATTCAGTTATATATAGATGTATAATATTCTTTTTCATATTTCTTTCCACTATGGTTTATCACAAGATGTTGAATATAGTTCCCTGTGCTATACAGTAGGACCTTATTTTTTATCCATCCTGTATATAACAGTTTGCATCTGCTAATTCCAAACTGCCAGTTTACCTTCTCCCACCACCCCTCCCCCTTGGCAATCAGAAATCTGTTCTCTGCATTCCTGAGTCTGTTTCTGTTTTATAGATAAATTCATTTGTGTCATATTTTAGATTCCATATAGAAGATGTATCATCTGACCTCACTTAGTATAATAATCTCTAGGTCCATCCATGTGGCTGCAAATGTCATTATTTTCATTCTTTTTTATGCATGAATATTATTCTGTAGTTATTTTTGCCACATCTTTATCCATTCACCTATCAGTGGACACTTAGGTGGCTTCCATGTCTTGACTGTCATAAATAGAGCTGCTATGAACATAGGGGTGCATATCTTTTTGAATTATAGTACTGTCTGGATAATGTGAAGTCAAGTGGACCTTAGGAAGCATCATGATGAACAAAGATAGTGGAGGTGATAGAATTCCAGCTGAGCTATTTCAAATCCTAAAAGATGATGTTATTAAAGTGCTGCAGTCAGTATGCCAGCAAATTTGGAAAACTCAGAAGTGGCCACAGGACAGGAAAAGGTCAGTTTTCATTC